GAGCTGAAGCAGCAGATGCAGTAGATGGCTCCTGCTTAGAGTTGTATTCCTCCCATTCCCTTGTAGTCCAAGAATTAACCGAATCCTCAACACTTGAATCGACCCTATGGGGAAGGAAGGATTCAGTAATGGTCGGGAAGTTTCGAAGGAAGTCTTCGCCCTCTAGGTCCTCTGGCCGCTGGGGCCGCTTCTTCGGGCATGAAACGATGTATTTGTTGCCTGTGTCGGGACCCGTTGTATCCCTTGCGACCCTGGTGGTATGGGTGTCCTTACACCTTCGTGTTTAGGCCTGGGGTCCTAATGCCACCTATCTGAGGTCTGGTCTGGGAGTTGGAGGCTTAGGGGGGCTGTGGTCAACGGCCGTGTCACCCGGAGGACTTCGCGAGCGTCGTGACCCAGCAGGTTCAGAAGATGATGATGGCTCGGGCCCCGATGCATTAAAAAGGATCGGTGTCTCCGGCTCGGAATCCAATGTCACCGGCTCAGCATCCAATGTCACCGGCTCAGCCGGAACCGTTGCATCAAAAGAAGGCAATGACGTTCCCGGCTCGAACAGCGGAACGCTTTGGGTGCAATTAAAACCAGGACTCCGGAACAGGTCAAGACGGTCCCGCACAATCTGAAAAAGATCCTCTTGGCCCTCGCACTCCAAACGAGCCGCCAGATAGGTCAACAGGTTACACCCTGCAGCGCGGCACCTACGGTTCTTCGATGCGCCGCCTCCTGTGCAACTCCTAAACGCCGAGGCTTGTACCAGAAAAGATTCGTCAGCCTCAAGGTCGAAGAGCGCTTGGTGCATGCAAGGTGGGATCAAATCAATTATCACCACCAATTCAAGCTGATGATATGACCCAAATGCCGTCCTAGTGGCTTTCAGACAACCCACCCCCGCGCCGTTAGAATGGCTCTACAGAAAGGATGGATGTGCGTGCGAACTGCCTTAGCTCGACTTCACAGCCTTAACGGTTCCTCGGATGACTAGAAACCGAAGGTGTCAGCCACTAACAACACCAACCAAGCCGTTGGCTTCAAGCCAGCGTCGACGGGGAATGCACACAGGTCTTTGACCCTGAATCCTTACTCTTTGATTTCGGGTGTGCAAACGGCAATCGTGCCTTGTTGATTGTTGCTCCCGTGGCGGGGTGCCAGCAGGAGGGCAATGACCCAGTCAACCACATCCTCAACCTAAAGGGAGAACCGCGGGACTGCAGGATGTGCCTTCGTTGTTGTTTGGGACAATGGCAGTGATGGGAAACCGTTTCTAACTCTTCACAAAACCCGTCACACCACAAAGCCCTAGGCCTTCCTAACCCGTGAACGGGTCTCGGAAGAGGTGTATGGGTTACCACCACAATCTTTGCTTGGGATGATTTGTTAGTCCACTCAATTGCTCAAGCAGACACAGAACGGGGAAATCAGGCTTGTTCGAATGTTCAAGCTATGTCCACCGGTGGCGGTATGCCAACTCGGCGACCCAAAGACGCCCTAACCGGGTGCGATGCAGCGGCCTCAACGCAGCAAGAGGAAGCAAGCGCAGATGCAGCCTTTCGGTTACGGGTAGTATCTCGGAATTCCCCAGTCAATGTAATCGTCAACGTATCGGAATTGGGTTACCCTATGTATCTGATGCAATCGATACAAGAAGAAGGATGTGCGATACCACGATTCAATGGACCTGCGAACAACCCTTCTCCAACGCGTTCTATAGTCCTGTTCCACCTCCTGCGGTTCTGAAGGTAAACGTGGAAGAACGTCTCAAGCACCCAAAGCCTTATACTGTAGTACAGATCTACAAACCAGTCGTGCAAAGCTTCGCACACCGTAAGATGCCCGTCTGCTGTGGGCATTAACGGTTCCTGTGCTAAGGTGGTGCCTGAGGTCAAGGGGAGGGTCCACGAAGCGGAAACCACGGGACAGGTACCTCCTCAAGTCTAAGACTACACCACCTGCGAAGCGTAAGAAGCTCTTGAACCCTTAGTCTGGCTTGCCTGTAAACCCTTCCTGAGGGCCCTTGCAAGTCTAGTCCAAAGATTCAATGGCTGACTGATGAGTGCGCGTGTTATCTGTTTCACGCGCAACTGCTTAATGGATCGAATCCATTGATTGAAGTGCGAAATGATTGCAAATATGGAACTCAACCCGGTGGCTTGGCTCTAGCACAACACAAGGAGTATCAGTACGAGGCAGGTCAGGTGATTTGACCTACGCAATGCGATTTCACTCTCAACACCAAAGGACGGTGGAGAAACACGGAACGCTATGGCTCAGTTAGAGGCTCTAGACGCACCTAGCCACAACACGAATGAAGGATCTCAAACCTGAGGTTGTTAACCAGAAGAACACAAGAGACATAAGTGTTCTAACAAGGAACAGCAACAAGTATCCTTGAGCCAAATGTTCGGTTGATAAGTCTTCGTTCTGTCCTAACTTGGTACCTGATGCTACACTAGGAAACATGTCCGGGGAACGTGCTTTCTTAGCTACACGAAAGGACATTTGACAAGGCAGAAGCTCCGGGGGGACGCAGCGACACATCACGATCTCAAGACGAACGAGTGTTCAAGGTTGGTTCGCGATCTTCGACCGAAAGCTAAAGTTCACAAAACCCGCATCAGCGCCGTGTTCGAGTAATCCGCCGCGGCCACAGGCCCAGGCGTCTTGATGGTTACCTCAGGTACCCTCCACCTAATCCTCCTCCCTGCAGTCCAAATGTTTGGAGACACCCTGTTTTTGCGTTCGTTTGCCACCCCCTTGTCCGGCTTCCTTCATTTTACCTGATTTGTGGGCCTTTGCCAGCCCCCTCCGCCCCCCCTTCCCCACCCCCCGTCCCCCTCCCTTCCCCCCTCCCCCTCCCCTCCCCCCCTCCCCCCCTCCCCCCCTCCACCCCCTCTGTTGAGAGGCCCCCCTAGCATGTAAACAACATCGACTGCCCCCTCGGCCTGCCGCTAAACAGCCGAGGCGGGCGGCGTAGCGTTAAAATTATCCTTACCCGAGGCGGGAACTCGCTTGCGACGCTCGATGCAGGATTCGCAGGCCTGGAACAAGTAGAGGCAATTCCCATGGATACCCCGAGGTGCAAAAGGAGTCACAGAGAAGGAAAGCTGCATCATTGCTGCATCTCTCGAGGCAGTTCACGTCAATCCTGTCAAGTAGATAATACCGCCATTCTTCTTTATGCACAGACACTCTAATTATCAATTCTCTGGAAGGCTTCAGAACCTGCAGAGGCTTTGTGGGTCTCAAGAAGTCTCTCCCATTCTGGCATGGTGGGAGGGAAACGCACACGTCAATTTCCAGCTTGCACTGCGGCAGTTTGGTTACCACCGGTCAGACCCGACGCGGGCGGGACCCCGGGTTTCAAATTGCCTGGTTATGACAAGCATATACAGCTTGAGCCAGCTACAAGTATCTGCCTAGTGGAACTTATCTGGTCGATCTCCTGATTCTTCTGAGTGTCAGAGAGTAATTAGATGACTCTGGAAGTCTTGTCTTACATCCTCTTAGCTGGAGGCCAGGCGTCTTGGACTCAGGAAGCCCAGTGTGTCTCTGCGCGATTGCGAAGATGTCCGACCTGACAAGAGACATGTTTGTTGACAAAGCACCGTGGCTGCAAGCAAACTCCATGCAACTTGTCTGGAAGTGTGCTGCGAACCGTCTGCATCCTCCCAGGGTCTTCCTCCGTCTGGCCGCTCCGGGTTGCATGCGGTGGCGCCACGGCGCCACGCTTTCGCGTCTTCAAGGCTCTGTGGCTTTGTCCTTGTTCGGAGGCCCACATGCCGGCTTGAAGCCGCCTGCCCTGTCGTCAAAGACACGAACCAGGCAGGCGCTCGTGCTTAGAACGTGCCGAATTGAATAGCTACGACGGTAAAGGTTACGAAATGTACAGAATCAAAACGGTCGCGCTCTGTGTAATGTGCGTAACATCAGTGTCAGTCAAGGTCACGGCGAGAAGTTGCACCTGGTCTCAGACCTTGACCAACACTGTCTAGCCCTGTGCAAGGTGCTGAGGGCTCTGCTCGCGCACGCTGCTAGCAGCCTCACACAGAATCTCGCTCATATCTCAAGTTACCTTTCCTGGTTTAGAGAGGCGATTCCGAAGGAACTCGGCAGCTGAGCTCAACACATGATCTACATCTGATTATTGCTAACGACTCAAGTTCGGCGCTGTGCTGCATTGTAGCCGGGCGACTTCTGATGCTCCGTGGACACCACTCCGAGAAACGTCCCCGGCTACCTGACAGTGGTACATCCTGTTGCGGCACTCCCGATACGCCTTTACTACAATCACTATCCAAATCTGGTCCAACCGACTTCCCCACAATTCCCCACCTCCCTAGTTACCTCCCGCCCTTGTTTCGGCCGTTAAAGGCAAGCTAGGCGCTGATTTTAGCAGGGCAACAGGGCATCTCTGGCCGTCTGGCCTGCTGAGCGAAGGCATAGATATCGGACTCCGCCTTGTCGGAACCCGGCTCAGCGTGACCGAGCTTCGAAAGAGGCGCGGCTGTGCTTGGGCACTGGCGCCGGAGGCAACACTGCTGGCCTCAGATGTCAATGTTGCTTCTCCGGTGCTCTGAGAAGCAGCTTCCAGGCATGGCAAATAGGCACGGACAACTGGACAATCCGACGTAGCAGAGCACCCACGGCCCCAAGTTGAAGGCATGTCAAGCGCTTAGCCTCCCACCACTCCAGACTTTGAGACATCCTGCCAATTACAAAGTTCATCTGCCAGTCTCCGAGGCAAAATCTGTGTGTCCGTGGCTTAGGCACAAAGACTCGATGTGGCTTGGAGGCTCAGCAAGCAAGATTATTCGAAGCTGCGAATAGTGATTATCCTACCTGCGCTGCCCGGCGAGCAAACGCCAGGAAGTCGGACCTGCCACTTCGGACAGGGAAAAGCACGGCTCATGGACATGTACAGACAATATTTTAGTTCCGTAGTCACTGGACCTAAACATGCAACCCTAATCTCACACGTGGCCTCTCCCTCGCCCTGACAAGTGCTAGAATTGCCTTGATGTTGCTGCACTGGTCTCAGTCACCTGTCGGGCAGAGACGGATGCGGCATGCAGAAGTTCACATGGGCTGCTTTTTGTGGACTTGGTACGGACTTGGTGCAAGCCCTAGAACAGGATCATCACGAGTGCCGACACTGCTCTCACCTCGCTGTGCATCCCATTCGCCACCTGTCAGCAGACAATTGGCGCAAGGAAGGGGCGTGGACGCGCGGCCGACGCGCGCGGTCGAGGTACAACCACACAGGACCAACACGAAAGGATCGTCAAGGCCTGGCAGCCCTAAGGCCCTCCCTGGCACTTAACCTGCAAGCTGCAATGCCATGCGCAATGCCTGCCGGGCAAAAGCAAGAACGCTGGTCTCGCTGACCTGAGCAGATGCAAGGACTGCACAGGTTACAATGGCCGCAACTCTGAGAGTTCCAGCGACACCCGACTTGGAGACATCGTCAGCAGCCTGGCGTGCCGAGTGCTGAATAGTCAGTGAGTCACTGGCATACGGGCATTGAGCCACACCTTTCGGGCAAAGGTGAGGATGTCAGAGTCGTTTGCGCTGACGCCGGACTGCGAGATCTCCCGTGCCGCCTGATACCGCAGGTGTCTTGTGTTTTGAGCCAAATGGGCCTTGCAACCAGTGAGGCATGACGACACCTTGCGGGCGAAAGCCAGCACGTCAGACTCGCTTGCACCTGGCGACAGAAGCTCTTTACGCTCCTTCGTCCTCTCTCTGCCAACCCCAGTGGCCTTGACTGATGCCGGACTGTGAGACTGCTCGGGCTGCCTGGCGCGAGGCAAGCTGATGGGGCCCCCTGCCCTGCATGTCTTTTCAGCCTTTCTCGCGAAGGCCATGATGTCCGTGCCCTCCGTAAGGCCGGTGCCTTGCCACAAGGGAGCATATTGCACAGATCGGGCTTTTCGCAGCCGACGGGTGTGGAGGAACTATACTCAGAGTCTGGTGTGCGGATCGAAAGATGGTTTTCTGCCAGACTCCGTTCTCATGCGACCTCGAGATTTGAGGATATTTGAGGATATGTGGATGTTACATGTTTGGTTTCTTCCGGAGCCACGCAGTATCGCGCAGTCCTCGGACACATCCACCGGCCCGGGCATCTAGGGAACTATGCTGCTCCATCTCAATTCCTATGCTTCGCCTCTCGTGCACAAGTGGAGCATCATCCCAGAACATGACTTAGCCTTCTGGGAAGCATGACGACCTGACGAGCGTCTTTGGAAGGATACTCGGGAGGATGGTTCGGGTTGCTGGAGACGGGGCAGGAATGAGCGACGGTGAGCGGAGTTGACACGACTTTCGGAGAAGCCATGATATCGTTGAGGCGTACGCGCATTGAGGCTGGCACCTATGCCGCTCTCGGACGCTGCTGCTTGCTGGGCTACCTGGGCAGAGGAAAGGCACCGTTGCAAAGCTGCAGCTGTGGCTTTAGGACTCCCACGCCGGGGCCGCCAGGGCCCTGGCCTTGCGTGCGAAGGCCAGCACATCGCCTTCCACGGCGCTTCCGCCGGCCTTGAAATGAGGAGCCCGGGCCCAGTTGGCATCACGGCATCTCACTGGTACTTTCCGGGGCGCCCCGCTGAAGACAGGTCCCCGCGCTGCGCCACTCCCCGGGCGAATCGCAGCAGCGCAGAGCCACCAAGCGAGTTGCTGGGCGTTGGCAGATGCTTCGAGGCACGCTTCACGTATGCTCACGAAAGGCTTGTTGAGACGAACACTTGGCAGGGACTCAGGGACTCAGCTCCACCGTACCACTGCTGCATGCTATGCTCCCGGCTCGCTGAACATGTCGTTGCTGAAGCCGTCGACTGCAAAAAAAAACATGCCACAGTGTCTGATATCGTCTTGCTGACGATGCCCAAGCATGGTCGATGCTCAATCCTGTGTAACCCAGAAGACACCCTGCTCGTAGAAGGGGGAACGGCTACATACATCTCCACGATACGAACCTCCGCAGCTTTCGGTGACGACACCGCTCTCGGATGGATGAGCCGCAACCCGCTTCGCGAACATCATGATGTCAGACCTCGGCGACGGGGGTAAGAGAAGGCATCCTCTCTTAGTTGCGGCCTTGGCAGCGAGCCGAGGTCGCCAATAGCTTCGATGTGGCCGCAACGATAAAAAAATCGCACGTTCAGGATGTGAGCGTGCCACATCAAACACGACTGACTGACGGACTGATTGACAGAACATGATTTCTGCGAACCACGCATGGGATTCTCTGAGTGCCTGTGCCACGAACTGAGTCTGAGGTCCACACACAGAGACGCCGTCGGATTGTCCCACCTGGGAATAAGCTGACCAACATCGCAGCTGCGAAGGAGGGATATCATGATTTCTTGTTACCTTTCAGACAAGGCCCTGTACAGTACCCTCCTTGCGTTCATCCCACCTCGTCAGCAACCTGCCGTGCGTAGCCCAGGATCTCGTCCTTGGAGCCGAGGCCTGCGCAAAAAATCAGAGCACGGACAAGCGGTGCGAGAAGCACCTCCGCGTTGTGTGTGCTCCGGTTGCATGATCTTGCAGTGTCCATGCATGGCGGTTCCGAGCTACCCACCAGGCAAGGCAGAGAAGCATTGCAGTAAGTCGTCTCTACAATGCCGAAATCTGCCACTACATGGGGGAACGTGACAACCTGCAAAAAGCGGGGAAGGATGCCTGTCTGTGTCACGTGTCCTGAGGTCTGCTGGCGATCTTCTCTTGCTGGTCTTTTGGAGGTCTCCTGGTCTGGTGGTCCTTCATCCGATCGTCCTGGTCCAAATGCTGGGTAGTCCGGTGGTCCTGGTGGTCCTCGTGGTGGTCGTGGTCGTCATGGGTCGCCGCGGGGCTCTATCACTATATACAAATACGAACGACCCGTTGCAAAAGCACGACCACTTAAAGATTATCATTGTCTTGTGCCTAGAAGAGTGCACAGACTTTGTCGTAGGTCCACCACCCAGGCCAGTGTCTTTTCAATTGCGTGCCCTAGTAAGTCCTACAGTAGCATGTTCTCCTTCGCGCAACCACATGATGCTCGGCAAAGGAACCACTTGGGTCTCAGCGCCCTTCGTTCGGTGAGACGTTGGAACCAAGCAGTGCCTCGCCGATGCATTGCCCGCTCCTCGACGGCAAAGTTGCGGTGTCAGCTTGCTGGTTAGCATGCAATCGGAAACTGATGGCATGAGGTGTGAACCAATATGTTTGGTCGTTATGGCACAAAGTCATGTGCACTAGCGGCAGTGCAGGGCTGAGCAGCTTATCAGGTAACGCATTTGGTCAGACTTTGCAAGGTACAACTCTAGAGGAGTAGCATGCAACATGCTAGCTCGAAGCAAAGCATCAAGCGTCGTGTGTGTCTAAACCAATTCGTGCGAGCCCTGTGTAAGCAGATGGTTCAATTCTTGCTTCAGGTCTGAGTTTCGGTGACCTGGATTTTCAGGTTATGAGCTCCCAAGGCCATGGATTTCTTGAGGGCGAGACCTACGGTCCTCAGTATGTGCAGCAGGGACGTGATGATGCTGCAAGGCCTATGTTGAATGGTTCTGTAGATGGGGAGCAAAGGCGTTCTGCGAGTTGTGGTGCTGTTCCGAAAGCGGAAGGTCCGTTTATTGAAGCTCAGGGGACAGGTGCTGCGTCTGGAATGCAGGACAATATGCACAACATACATGAGCGCGCAACGAATGCACAGAACGATCAACAAGCAACGGCAGCAGCAGCGAAGGCACAGCCGAAGGCCCAACCGCCGTCTCAAGGACTTTCTGAAGTGCCAGCGACAACTCCTGCTCAAGAATCAGCACAGACGCTGGCTACTACAATGGGTGAAGCTGTTCCCAATGCCGGTTACCAGCAGGTGACCCAGGTGACTATACGACTGGCCACGGACGGCTTCAAGCCGGCCACACCGTGGAGAGTTCTCAGGGGATCACAGTTCAGGTTGCCGGGATTTCCCCACCAGAAGAGTTGCCTGCGAGAGGCGAAGGAGGCCAGGGCAACCAAGCTGTGTGGATGGTAAGAGGCCCTATGTTGGATCGACCTGTGAGAGGAAGACCGATAACATCTCACCCGGCGAGCTGGTTGACTCCTGCTTCACCTACGGCAAGACCGCTGTTTTCTCCGGAGGCCGAGAGGGTCATACAACAGTGGCCCCATCACAGGCCCCGATTCTGAGACTCAGACGACTCAGGCGGCTCCGCGGGACAACGAATCTTCAAGTGGCTCGCTTACACAGGAGCAAGTTCTTTTCGAAAGTCCATGTGGGCGGTGGATGCTGCGGAATGAAAAACCAGCGTCTTCGCGATGTGGTGGAAAATCAACAGCGGGGAAGTGAAGCCATGGAGGAAGTAGCCCTGCGGAAGTACCTAGGGGTCGTGACCTTTGTGATGAAAGGCATAGCAGAGAACCTCAGGCAAGACCTCTACGGGGCCTTGGTGTACCAGAAGGCAATGCTGATCAAGTACATGAAGCTTTCGGGGCTACTCGAGCACCTGGCCTTGAAAGAGAAGGTCGTGATGATCGAGGAGGTGACCGTGGACCTCAGCCAACACACGGATGGATATGCAAGGCTGCAAGCACTACCTATGACCCAGCTTGAACTTGGAGCCCCGATGCAACATGGAGAACAAGTTCGGAATGAGGGCTGAATGAAGGTGCCTCCGGTGTTGAAGACAGTGGGCCACACCAAGAAGATTCCGCAGGGCAAGCTCAGAAGGGGTTGAACGATCCTCTGAGTTTGTTGGCCCATGGGGAACGCAAGGGGTTGCAAGACGCCATGAGCATCAGCCCCAGCAGCAAGGCGCAGGGAATGGAGTTGGTGAAACTTGGGATATCAGAGCTACCCCGTCTCCCGGAGCTGTCGGAGACCTCCTGCATTGAAGTTGTAGACTGGGTTCACGCCCTCCAGTGCCTGACTCAGCAATGGGTCTTCGAGTTGGTGGAGGAAACTTCTCCAGTGCCTGCATAGGTTCTACAATGCCTATGTGAAGAGCTCGAACTCGAACTTGGCAAAGCTCAACCTGACGCCTGGGTCCTTCGCCACGGCTTTGCCAAGGAGGAGAAGTGGAGCAGGGTGGACAAACGGGCGACTTCGCTGATCTTGGCAATGCTTCCAGAAGCGGTGCGAGACGAAGTTTTGGCTCTCCGATTGACAGGAACCTTGGCGGTCCTCGGCAGAGTCATGGTCTTCTACAGACCAGGAGGAAGCGCAGCGGAGCGACAACTGAAGGTGTTGGAGAGCCTAGAGACGGCATCCACATCCACACCCCAGGAAGCTGCGGACCTTCTGCGCCGATGGGCGCGATGGTAACGACGAGCAGGTGATGTTGGTCTTCGTTGTCCAGATGCTAACGTGCTGCTCAGAGGGCTGGACACAGTGACCCGCAAGGTGCCGGCCGAGAACATGGAGATCCAGTTCAGTTCGAACATGATGAGGTATACACTGGAGATAGACGCGAAGCCGGCCTAGAAAATCGCGGAGGACCTTCACCACGCCATGTTGCCGGAGTTCGAGCAAGTGGCCTTCAAAGGGAGAAGCCGGGCAACGTGCCTTCGGTAACGATCAATTCGGTGACGACACCCAGGACAACGGCGGGACCACCATCGACTACCTCTCGCAAGACGCAGGTCAAGGCGAAGCTTCTCCTGGGAAGGGGCGAGGAGCCCCGTGCAATTCCAAGTTCTTCTTGACAGGTCAAGGTTGCCGCCGAGGCGAGCAATGCAAGTACATCCAAGACGTGGACCGCAAGCAACGCCAAGAAAGATGTTGGACTTGTGGGAGTAGGCAGCACACGTCTACGTCTTGCCCAACAAAGGACAACAGGAATGGCAACCCGAAGAGCCCTATCAGGACGACCTCGACTAC